GTATGAACGGTTGGGGACTTTGTGGCTCTATAATCACCCTCTGAGCTAAAGTAACGTGAGAGGGTCAAAGGAGGGCCCCAGTATAAACAGGGCGTAAAGAGTGCCTAAGACTGATTTAGACTAAATAAGTGCTGACAAAGAGTGAGACTGAATTAGTGTCCATTGGTAGACAAACCAAAGGGTACCCATTTCTTGTGTTTTTTTTCGTTGTGTAATATTCATCAATACATCTTGTCGTTTTACTTTCAGACTCTCCCACAAGTCGTACCCTCCTTCTATACAGTGTCTTTTTTCTTGTTGTTACCTGTGCCTGTCGCGTTTTACGGCATGTACTTCGCGATGCAGTACTTGCGTTCTTTATTATGGAGAACCCCCGGGCGAGTAACCTAACCATCTTTAACTTCTCTGTAGTTTTTATTATACTAATCATTTTAATGTTCATGACTTAGCCCACTGGCGTCCGCCTCAGGAGTTTTTGGGTGTGTACTTACGGTCGCTAGGTACGTTGTCTTTCGGCAAGACACAAACGTCCACGTCACCCAAAATTGCATTTTGTTTTCACTCCTAGTTTTTTATTTATACATTTTAAAAAAGACCGCAAAAAACCTAAAATAAATGTACATCGTCATATACTTTGCCTTGTGTAAACAACACACGTAACTTTTTGTGTTCACACCTAGGCCTTTATGTTCACCACTTAGGAAGACACACGTACGCACTATAATACTCCTGAACAAGACTCGGGTGTCAGATGTTTCTTGTGTGTATTGTTTTGTGTGTTGTTGTCCTAACATTTTCTAAGGTTACAAAATATCCGGGACTGTTGTAGGTAATTCAACAAACACACACCACACATTCTCTACATTTCACCACACACGCACGCACGGCACGCCACGCACGCACGCACGCACGCACGCGCACACACACAACACACACACATCTTTCTATGGTTCTCTCCTTACTTCGTAGCCGTTTTAATGTCGCTCACCCGTTCTGACACGTCCTGACAGTAGGTAAGGATCGCTCACACACAAACACACACAGAATGTCTTATACGTGCTAGCTTATTCCGTGCCTTGGGACCTCCCGAACGTACAGAATTGCTACCTACTTTTTACACAACCGTATTAGTTAACAAGGACAATATACACCTCCTACATAGGCACTCTGTAACACTAACACGTGATTATTAAATGGTTGTTAACCAAGGGGGACACCAGATTTGGACTTCCCCTGAATACTGTGGTCTTCTTTTTTTTGTGTATTGTTGGTCGTCACTCTGCTTGTGATCCGCAGTGTTGTTTGGTTCGGAGTGGACGTTCTCAAGTCGGAGGGCCTCTCTCTCTCTCTGTGTCTTCTTATTTATTAAGACACCTTGTGTGTTTTTTTTTTATAAGGCGTTTGGGAAAACCGCCGTCAGACCATGATTTTTCAAAGTCGGTACCCCCGACGTTGACACCAGAGGTTCCGAGGTTCACACACTTACCTTTCACACAAACTCAGACACAGATCCCCGCTGAGGACACGCACATCGTATCTTTTGTTCGACCCGTGGTTTTTGGTAATAACTCTTTGGCGTACAACCCCGTACAAATGGTGACTATAAACCTCCGGTTGCGTTACTGTGTTCACAAAGACAACATTTTTCTTAATGTTGTTTCTCTACGCTGTTGTTTATATGTGTTGTCATGCTTATTAACCTTTACGGGTCTACGTTGTTTAGCAGAGACCAATGTATAAACCCCTTCAGGTCACATTTCTCCTCTCCTAAATCACGCTTGTCTGAACGCGTGGTGTATTGTGTTTTATTGTAAAGAAGAAGTTTATAGGTCCGGCAGTGTTTAGACTTGTTTTCTTACGCGCAGCCTAAGGTAACTACGGGCGAGGGAAAGCGGCCTGCTATGAAAGGTAGGGTTTGGAGTGTCCACACCCCGTATATGTTTTGGCCTAACCCGACCTAATCTGTCGTACTAAATAACGTTCGTCCAAAGTATCGCCCGGGTGTTATTTTCCGGTAGACTTGTGTGCACAGTCACTCGAATAAATCATCTCTTATTTTTCGGGCCTCTTTGGTCGTCTAGCCACTCAATCTCTCATTATATCTCTATCGTCTCACCAGACCTATAAGCGCATATAATGGTCATAGACGATTCGTTATTTTAAACGGTCCTTACTCACCGAATTTCGGCGCCTTTACTCAATTGTAAAAGTAAAGCCCAACGTGAGCGGGAATAGTTTCAGAAAAAAACTTACGACGCTTTATTCTCAAGACCAATTGTTGTTGACTTCTCTACAAACTCCCGCAAAGCAAGATGTTGTAGGTTAGTTTATACCATTTGATGAGGAGAGTACCTACCCGTTTGAAGGCCTAACCGTGTGTTTCGATCAGTAGTGATGTGCGTCAGAAATTAGTACCGGTACTTCTTACCGACACTTGTAACAAGGATCTTACAAATGTTGAGTAGACGTGTGTAGAGAGTTCAAATCGTATACATGACTCACATACTGGTCGTCAATATATGTTTAGTCCACACACATACCCACCCTTTCTACATGTAGATGTAGTCCTGCGGGAGCGGATGTGCGTCTAGATGCGTCTGACCGCACCCGGAGTGAGCGGTCCCCACGGAGTACGAACGCCTCCCTCGGAGTAGGCTTTCGCGTTTACGTTTACTGCGAATACAACATGTCCAAAACGGGTGACCGCATCCCGAGGCCTCGCAGGCTAACCAATCAGAGCAGACTGGGCTCTAGTTTCAGACAGAGGATGAAAAGAGGTGCTGCAGCACAGGCAGTATGAGAAAAATAAAGAGCTTTCTTAACCGTAAAGCATGGAAACATGTCACAGTAGAGACACTAAATATAAATATCAACCTGAAATATTCCATAATATTTCCTCTTTAAAGATATCTGCTCCCACCTCTTATTATAAATGAAGTTCTGAAAAGGTGCAGACTGTCGGAAATGGCAGTGCATGTAGCCTATAGTCTGTGTAATGTAATGTAACTATTCTCCAGGTTAAAAAGCATTTTCTCTATCCCATAATTCCTCTATGGAGCCTATGACCGTAGGTAGATTTGTTTATGTCTTTTTGTCATTTTTACTTTAGTTTTTCTGATGCAAACATTTACATGCGCACCATTTGAACATGTTAATGCTTTTTTAATGCAACCGTTTCATCATCAAGGAATAGTGCCAATTGTACACATTAAAGTCGGTTTAAAATTAATAGGGAATAAGACTGCAAAAACTGCTGTGACGTCTGATCTACCTGACTTGAGTCAGCGTCATGTTGGGACTTCAAAATGAAAAAAACTGAAGTTGTTGACTTAGAAAAGGACAACAGAGTGGTGCAGGGATGACGTATTTACCCGGAAATAAGCTGTGCATGGGTTCCCTCGACAAAAAAGCAATGGGATTTCTCCATAGGATTTTGGAAAATAGCTCGAAATAAGGTCTGTGGAAAACGAAACTGTTTGATAAATGTTTTGTTCAGCCGGATGATATCCACATGTCTACCCTACTTTTATAATTTTTGAATCATAAATCGAATCGCCAGAAGCTAAGTGCTAACGTCATGCTATAAACGTACTACAGACGAGTACACGCCAACTTAAAAATACAGATTCAAAATTGAACAAGTTGAAGCGTTTGTTTGAACAGTTTGCAAGAGCGCAGGTACTTGCTTTCAAGCAGAACAAGGAAAACAAACTTAGCGGGAGTGTTTTCGTGTTCGGTGTTATGATGTACAACTTCCTCGACAACTTCTGTAGTCCTATTCAGCCACATGTTAACAACCATTGTTTTTCCGACACGTAAACTCTTCAAAAATCACCAGTGGGGTCACTGCTGATGTATTTAATGTCGTAGAACAAAATGTGATCTGTCTCTTAAATTTGTGTCAACCACAGACCTTATTTCCAGCTATTTTCCAAAACCCTATGGAGAAATCCCATTGACTCTGAGACGAGGGAACCGGTAGTGGTAAAATGCTAACTCACTTCCGGGTTTTAGGACTTGTCACTGCACCACTGTATAGCAGCCCTCTGTAGCCGTCTGCTCATCTCTGCTGTAGGCTTGAAGCTAAATAAACTGTATCTACCACACAACTTATATTTGTTGAAACAGCAGTTGCCCAATTGCATTCTGGGTAATGCAGCGGCCAGGCATTCATTTTTTACTTTTTAATCGGTGGACTACTATTTGTATAGCTGGAATCTTAAAACAGAGAGTTAAAGCAATAATTATTATAATAAATTACTATTTTTTATCAACTGCTCCCCTGTGTTTCCTTAAATTACTAAATCTAAAAAATATATTGTTTAATCCCCATGCTGAACAAAAAAAAAAAACTGCAATACAAATAAAGGTTAATTTAAGTCTCATTTGCATGCTCACTACTTCACAAACATGCACTTTCACTAGAACCTGATCATTTAAAACACTTCTCTGGAAGAGTCGTGCGCAGGCATGAGTATGTCGTAGTAAAATCTTAGTAAAACTAAATGTGGATAATCATTTCATTTCAAACCTTTATTTATGCAGGTGAATCCCATTGAGATCATTGATCTCTATTTCAAGGGTGACCTTCTGATAATAATCCCTTGATGGACAATAAAACTGTGTGTGCTCATCTAAATTGCGCCACATCAAAGCTATGTACTTGGCGTGGGCAATCTGCTTATTAGTGTTGGGAAACTTGGCATATTCTACCAAATAACACCCAGGTTATTATAAAGCAGAATCATCCTTTAAGCCTGTGGATACACACTCTAATTTGTTTTTTATACTGTATTTGCTAACCAATGCACCATTTATTCGGGGAGTGCCTGAGCTCACAACCACACACACCTCCACCCCCCATCCTCCGTCAGTGGACCCCATTTTCCCATTAGGGCCTGGTGTCTTTGTGTTTGCACACATCGTCACTTCTTATTTCTGATCTCCCCTTCCCGCTTCCTGTCGTCCCTTACATCTCATTATCTCTGCCTGGTCTCCAGCTCGGCTCGCTGGAGAGGAACCGACAGGTGAGCCGGCCCCGCTGGAATTACCTCAAAATAACATTTCCCTTTGTGCCTTCCCTTTAGCTGATATTTCAATTAGGAGGTCAGCGGGAGTAGGGTGGTGCTCAGCGGGATGGGTGGAAGGCAGACAGGAATCAAGAGGAGAGAGGAAATTACAAGTAGCATAGGCACACAAAGGAAGACAGTAGAGCTGTGGAGCAGGAGGAAAGATGGCGGGACATGAGGGGTAAGAGAGGACAGGAAATGGAGAAGGAATCAGAGTACCAAGAGAGATGGAAGACAAGTGCTGTAATCCATTTAATGTGTTTGCTCTTCATGTGGGCTCATACAAGATAGGAACATTACTCATCATGTTATTACTGAGGCTCTGAAGTAATAAGGAGTGAAAGAGGTCACAAGTTCATCACACTGCAGCGGCAACTATGTGCAGACCTTATCAATGTATATCACTACCATCTTTGTCTTACTTCCTAGTGGAATCAATTCAAGTCAGAGATGGCTTTATGAGATGTAGGTTGACAGTGAACACAGACATTGATCCTTTCTTAACATCAAGCTTAATCTTAATCAGGTGCTAAAAAGGATTTCCCTATTTATGGATGTGTGGTGTTTAGGAGTCAAGTAACCAGAACAATCGTGCTGCTTTTCTCTGTTTTGCTGTCGATATCATTATAAATAAAAGTTAAAGCACTTCATTTGTAGATGCTGAGTTGGACTCTGGGGAATTGTAAACAGGATTTTACCCCATTTAAACATTTCATAGTCTGAAAAGAATGATGTTATTGGTGGAGCAGAGTACCAGAAAACAGAAAGTATTTACTTTTGTGTGATTTTTAAGTACGGATGAACCAATCCAATCCGATTTTAGCATTTGCAGACCACATACATTCATAAAACAAATATTTAACAGGAAAGGCCTGTTTTTTTATCTTTAAAAAAGTAATACATCGCATTTCTAAAATTGATATGCAAAACATACTAAACATGCACAGTACACATCCATCTATAAGTAACATTAAAGTATAACTCGCATTGGCTAGCCTGATCCATCTTAAATAACTTAGGAAGAGTAAGCCCTCGAAATGAACCCTACATGCATTTTTGAGTTTTGACTGGTATATCTATTGCCTGTAAACAATTGCATCATCCCCCAGCAGCTAACTTTACTTTTAACATATCCTTAGCTAAAACACTTACAAACCCAGCTTACCATTCCAAGTGATGATTTGTTGACTCCATTTATGTGCCATTGTCCCTTAGAAACTATTGTTATGCTGCTAACAACTGCTTTTTCTTTTGATAATATTTGCTTCTCACACAAACTCCACTTTTGTTTCCTTGTTTTCCTTTTGGTTGCACCTTAATCATCATCAGTTACAAAGAGACGCAAGGCACATCTGAAGAGGCTGGACCGCCGCTGGACCCTGGGGGGGATAGTCAACCGGCAGCAGAGCAGAGGTGAAGGTGGAAACAGACACACACTCACACACACATTAAACAGTGACAGTGGACTCATACACATTCAACAATATGAGAAACCCACAAACCAACAGACGTACCCATAAAAGACCCTGAGTCCCTCATTCATATGAACATATACACATATAGTGTTTGTCTTTAGTGTGTGTATTCAAGCGTCATTACCAAACCAAACTGAAGCTACTGTTAGCTAATTCTCTTTTTACAGTACTACGGCTTCCACAGATGACATTTTTTTATGGATTTTTTGTCAAAGCACTTAAGATATTCATTGCTATCGGGATGTTAAGAGCATTCCATGGAATATAACAAAAAGTTTATCTCGATCCGGTTTCTCAAAATTACCCCACCTTTAAGTGAAGTTATAAAAATTAAGTTGAATCCCACTTATTTGTCCCTTCTAGCCTTTTGACAATAAAAAAAAAATGGCGGGGAAGATAACAACTGAATTGATTTACTTAGATTTGTGCACATTGTTAGTAGCACATAAATATCAGGTGTGGGATTCATTTTCAGTTTTTAAACCATGACAAAATAGTGATCGTCGAAATGGCAAGAACCTTACATCCATCCCAATTTGGTCTTTTTTTTTCTGTGGCAATGTGTAGGTGTAGAGCAGGACCCAAACAGAGTAGAACAAAGGAGGCAGGTATAATTAAATAAAGGCGAGCTGTATTGAAATGAAAGCTGGAACAAAACCTGGAAAAACACAAAACTAAGCAAGGAGGTTTATTAATGCAACAGCAAAAAAAAGAAACTAGGGACAGCTCAGATTGGCAGAAGAAAAACGGGGAAACAAATCCACAAGGAATACTAGGGATAATGCAAGGAATACACATGCAAAACATTGAGGGGCAGAACCCCACCAGGGGAAACATCTACGGGAACTACTAACTGACAGAGAACACTGGGACAAACCGACATACACACAAAGATGGAGAGGGCAGGCAAAAACACAAGTGCAGCAGGGTGAGAACACACAGGTGGATAGATCAGGGCGGGGCAAACAATCAAGGCGGTAACAAAACAGACAGGAAGTGAAACCAGGCTAGATACAACAAGAGAGACATTTTCTAAATAAAAAAGGAAACACAAAAAACAAAGATCATGACAACATCTTGATATAGCATGTTTCAAAAATAGTTTTTGTGAAATAAAAATAAATCACAACTTATGTCCATAATGAACACAACAGTTTAAAGTAGAATAAAGAGCACACATTTAAATAGAGCTAGCCGATATTTGAATAGAAATGTAATAAGAAAATATATACGCTGGACGATTTAATATCATTTTTACAGCCCTACAGCAAATATCAAAATGTTGCGTTTTTTTAAGCATCACTGATTGCTGAAAATGCCTTTTGCTACTGAAGCAGTTGTTAATGATCTGCGGCCCCCTGGCATGTTCAGATTGTGAAAAACAGCAACCATTAGGGGTCCTTAGCAAACATTCAGAAGTGTTCACAAACAATTATTTCAGCCTGCCCTGATGTGTCGTGCACTATGCAAGAATAACCTTGGAGAGAGAGACATGTACACAACAACCACACACGACCAAATGCATGATCTCCCTTCAGGCTTACCCCTGGCGGTGACTGAAACTCTCTCACCCCTACACATCTCCCCGATAAACAAACATTCAGTACACAGCTGAGTCCCTCCCATGGCCCCTCTCCTCTGCACTCTCACATATTTTGCGGCCACATGGAAAACAACCTCATTTACATGGTCACTAGCAAGCCAACAGCAACTGAGACATCTAGCGGGAGCTGCATGTTGGGTGGCCATGAGTCAGCTCTGACACTAAAATCTCACTCCATCAAACTTGGAGCTGTCCTCAGCTCACACAGAGCAGCACAAATAATTGGACTGCACTAAATACATTTGGATAAGTAAAGCTATTGGGCTCCCACAACACAAACGCAACAACCCTGACGGCCACTGAGCCATGTGAACATAGATGATTGTATAACAGAGTTGCTGCTAATTAAAGCAAGCTCCCTTATGTTTAAAATGCTGTTAATGACTTTTGCTTACACATAAAAGTGTTCTGGCATCCTCGTTGGCAAGTAATCTGTGGTTTGATGGAGTCATTATTGCTTTAATGCTGAAAGTGAGTCTATGTCTGAAAAATCACCTCTCCTGGGGGGCGAGTCGGCGCTTTCTAGTTGAAACTTTTCTCAGTCCCACAGTTAGGCACCTGTCTGGCTCCAGGCTTAGTCAGAGCTTCAAACAGACACGGTTTAGGTCTAATGTGTTCATGCGTCAACTCTAGCAACTGTACAGCAGAGAAATGCATTGGTGTAAAAACAACTCGTCTCATTCTAAAAACGCACACTGACATACAGCAGTATCCATACGGTCCAAAGCCTCAGTCAGTTGACAAAGGGTAAGTTACACACATGGTCACTAACCTATGTAATATGTAAGAGGTGGGAGAAGTACTCATATCTTGTACTTATGTAAAAGTAGAAGTACCAGAATGGAGAAATACTCTGTTAACAGTAAAAGTCCTGCATTCAAAAATGTATTAGGATCAAAATATACTTAAATTACCAAAAGTAAAAGTGCAGATTGTTCCATCTCAGAATAATATATATGATATGTTTTATAATGATTGATCATGAAAGTGTTCTCAAAGCTGGTAAAGGTGCAGCTAGTTTGAAACTAGCTGCACCTTTACCAGCTTTGAGAACACTTTCATGATCAATCATTATAAAACATATCATATATATTATTCTGAGATGGAACAATCTGCACTTTNTGTATGTATGTATGTATGTATGTATGTATGTATGTATGTATGTATGTATGTATGTATGTATGTATGTATGTATGTATAGTAAATACATCACACCTAGGATGTGTCAAGTCATGCTAACAGGGATCAGTAAACATTGCAAGTTAGCTGTGCCCTGTGGAGGCCTGAGGGGTCTGCACGGTTGACCTTCAATAGATGGGTCCCAGAATATTATGATTATAAAATGTAGTAATGAAGGTCTTCAAATGCTCACTAAGCCTGAAGCTTTTTTGGGCGCTGGAATTCTTGGGCGTGTCTACTACCTAGAACCCCACAAAATGAATGGTACGTGACTAACAAATTAAGTGTTGGAATTCAAGAACATGGTCTCCAACGAGTTTCATGCCCTCATTCTCTGGTGGCGACAATTAGCCGGGTGACTCATCCTCGCTCTACAGAGGTTGAGGTCTGTGTGATTAAAACCAGTGTGCCGATTGGGCAGCTGTCCCACTTTCACACTTTCCACCGGCTTGTTGGGGCCAAACTTTAATGTTCTGTGTGGGGAGACATGTCTAGTTAGGAGACATTCCTGAAGACCTGCCTAACACTGTTCCCTATCCTGAGACACTTCATATGCTTTATTCCAGTGTATCCATGACGATATACTGTAAATGCTGACACTTGCCTGTTTAGGTTCCTGAATCAGCAGTGGTGATAAGTAACTAAGCACATTTACTCAAGTACTGTACCTAAGTACAATTTTGAGGTAGTTGTACTTTAGAGTAATTCAATGTTTTGATACTGTGTACTTATACTCCACTACAAATCAGAGGTACATATTGTACTTTTACTCAACTACATTTTTGAACACCTTTAGTTAGTTTACAGATTTGGATGAATGATGTGAAATATAATCAAGTGTTAAATCAGACTTTAGTTCCACCTGGAGTAAATTCACAAGCTACCCTGCAGTATACAAAGTCATTCAAACTAGCTGCACC